TATGGGTTTACCGGCTTGATAACCCACTTGGGATGTTGGGAGAACACTCAAAAAGCTTGTAAATCACTCGCCTTCGGCTCGTGATTTACAAGCTTTTCTCGTGTTCTCGTAACATCCCGCGTGGGTTATCACTCTGGTAAACCCATAGAAAGTGTGGTCTATTGCTTAAATAATACAAAGTAAAAAGGGTTTAAAAGGAGCCCTCGAATTATCATGATTATAGTCGCTAATAAGCGATGATCTGCTCTCAATAAACTTTCGCTTCGGCTCCTCGATCGTATCTCGCGGTTAGTAATGTTGATTGCGCGCGTAAATTGACGCATGTACTATCGCCAAATGACGAAACAATCGACATAAAATAGCGTCACAAGCAAATAATTGAAGAAATTTCTAAAACTGCGACCAAGCAGCGGACAAAGCAGGCGGTTAACGTTACCATCCAAGGCAATGACACCGAGCCCGTTACGTCTAAAAACACCAAAAGTTGCCTGGCCTAGTCAAGACAACAAGAGTGAGGAAGAACAAAACACTTTTCAAAGAAAAGGAGATTTCAACAAAAACGGTGACAAATAGCGTGAGATTTCCTATTCCTTTTATCAGCAATAATCAGACGAGAACTGAGGGACGTGCTACAAGGAATCATGCTTTTCGAACAATAGGGCAAGTGGCCGCAGGTATGACCAACTCTTTACGGACACTGTATTTTGATTTTCAGACTAAGGATGCAAAAAACTACAAAGCGGAAAACAGAAATGACAGGATCAAGGTTGGTGCAAAGTTAAGACCCAATCAACATGGAGGGCATATTCATAAGAGGAAACTCTTTGTTACTAAAACTGTTTTGAACACTGTTGAATTCGACCGGCAATTATCAGCGACTGGACTGCGGTGATCAGAACAAGAACACCAGCCGCGACCTGATTGTTGATAGTAAACAGCTTAATCAAATTCAGATGACAAAGCCACAGGGTAACCATTCCCCAACTTCGAAAAACGTTCTGCGTAAACGTGTACTTGGGTAGCAAAGGAGCGCTTACCATCGGTAAGGAAATTTCGGTAAAACATTTCTGACAAATAGTACTGGACTTGAAAATGTTTCCGAAAATAGGAATGGGTTAGAGTTGTGCAGAGTTCTGCCATTTGCAAAACACCAGATAACGAGTGGGCCTGCAGGGTTTATTCCAGAATTTGGTCAACGAGGGTCAAATGGGCCCCCGTCTGTAATTTTAGGGGCCCTTTTTCAAGCAAGGCGGTCCCCCAAAAGGTATTTGAACTTATTGGTACAGACTGTTCAATGACAAAAAAAAGTGTTTATTGACGCTTTGCCGCCATTTTGGAGCCGCAGTTTAAGTCGCAACTTATGCAGTTGCGAAAAGAAGCCTGAAAAAATTCAGGCTTGCCGGGATTTAAACCGTGACCTCCGTGATGCCGCAGCGCTTCAATCAGTTTAGAGTCCGATTGTAAAACTGACCGCACAAAAACGCTAATCTATAGATTGCCACGATGAGAACGCTCCAAGACCGCGGCTGACCTTTTACAAGAAAATCTTACAACAATTTAGGTTTAAATCCATGAGTACTCAATGCTGTTGTTTGGTAAAACGCAAACTCGGGTAGCAACATTCCCCGTTATAAATCTGACCGCGCAAAAACGGAGAAACAAGTGGGCATGCGTGGCTTGACTGTGCATCCGCGCATGCGCCCTCTTTCGAGCCCTTTTGCCTCAGTTTATCTTTTTTTTTCAACCTACTTCATTAATTTTATAGCCGGCATTTTTAGGTTTCCGCCTGTTTGTGGTATAAACAACAAGACTGGCTGCAAAATTGGCTGCCAAGATGTACTATTCAACTGACGTTAAGGGAAATTAAACGGATTAAGAAATGGTGACTGACCGATGGTTTAACTAGCGCCATAGACTGATTTTAATCGGATTTTTGAGAAGATTTTAGCGAAAAAATAAACGAGAATAGATTTCAGGCTTCTGACCTTGAAAATAGGCTCATTGTGGTATCTCTAATATGAGAAACTTCCCTTCCGACGTACTAAGTGAAAAAGCCTATTGCGTGAGTTGATCACGTGATCAACTTTCGCTAAACGCGAAAAGAGTTCGCTTTTGGAAAATGTCGATAGCACAAGCTGAAAGAGCATATTAACATTAGGTAACAGGTAATTTTCAGCCGTATATCTCAAAAGTAGCCATCGCAACGGCCGCCGAAAATTAGAAGGATTTGTATGAGAAAAACAATTTTTGCCAACCAGTTACGCTTGCATGGTTTTCCCCACAAATCCTTGTGAGTTTTGAAATTTTCAAACTGTCGTGGAATATTTCCTTAAATTACGGGGCTCAAATCTCCTTTTAATTCATAACAGGGACTGTGAGCCCTTAAATGCGTAAGGGAAAGATTTTACGACAGTTTAAAAATTTCAGCTTGTGCCCTCAAAGTTTTCCAAAACCGAACTGTTTTTATGTTTACCGAAAGTTGATCACTCAGCTAATGCAAAAGGCCTATTAGGCCTCGTCAGTGCATTTGTCCAAAAGGACGAATATAAAGTGAGTAAAAGAATTTCTTGGTAGCTTCACTTTTGATCCAAAATGCGAAACAAAAACCAACACAATTTAAATGAGGAACGAGCCGTTAAGGTTACGTCAAAAGCTCGCTTGGCTCTACGATCACACCCGTCGGTCAGGGATGAGGCTTTGTTTTACGGTGCATTTCAAGATCCTGGAGTCTCGTCATGAATTGCAACGAAAGGCACTTATGTCACGCACGCAAAGATGTTCGCCAACATAGGTTTTGCTCTCGTGGAATGAGGGGTATGAGATATGTAGAGTTCGAACAAGATTGAAGCGAGTAATCGAGGAGGAGGATTTCTGCCTCCTACTGGTATGCTCTAAGAACCTGCCACTGAAGCTTGTTAGAGAGCGGCTTGGAGCAGTGGAGGGCCAAATCAAACGCAGCAAAAACTACCCACTGAGCTTGGGGATTCTAAGGATACTTCAATACCCTCTTCCACAACGCCTATCCTTAACTATTTTTTGGCTAAATGTTAGTAACTGCTTGCACCACCTTCATAGGGTCACAATGGGGTTTCAGCCGTCAAACGGCCTAAAAGGTAGCCATTAACCGTCTAGGGTTACTTTTTACCGTCAACCGTCAAAAATCCAGAGTAATATTAACCGTAAAAACGTCTGAAGACCCTCAAATATCTCTTTTAAAGCTGATCTTTTCCGACTTTTGCTCCTGAAGAATCTCCTGACTGTAAAAACCACAAGCCATGTTCTCAAACACTCTCTGAACATTACAAGACTTTACAACTTTCTTTATAGAATGCAAAGGCTAGATATTGAAAGTTTTCTTGGCGACCTCAGTTAGCCTGCGTGAGCGTTTCCAATCGAGTTATTGCGCGAAATTTAGAGCTCTCGTACCAAATTTCTCGACGAACTCGCGCGGAAACGCTTGCTACGAAAGCTAGGCCTCAGTTAGACTACCTGCCCAATACGTAATAGGTTCGATTTCCGCTGTCTCCCGGGTCCGTGCGGGCTCATTTTTCCGAACAGCGGTTGTTACGTAAACGAGTGGTCATCGGGCGATCCCGGGCAATATAAATCAAGACGACTTTTATGGAGTTTAACTTTTTTTCGTTACATTAGTCAGAAACATTACTTGATCCGAAGTTATTTTCTTTTCTTGCACCTCTTAGTTTTAGGCTCTAATATGTTAACTTCGTCACACACACGTGCTTTTACAGTTTCTTCCAAAGGAAAATTCCTGTCTTTATCACACAGACCAGAAACAATCCCACAATAGATGCAAGGCACGCTGGGAAGATGGTAATATCCTCCTCTGTTTCTTCCAACGAAGATAAGCCACGCTTTCCTCCTCTATCTTGGAAGAGACCTTCGAAAGAGAATATTTGTAAACCTCGATAAACCGCTGGCTCTTTTCCAGTAAAAATCTTAACTCAAAAATTCATCTCGAAACCGAACTCGGCAAATGGGTATCCTCATATGCTTCTATATCTAGAGGGCTCGTAATCGGTCCACTAATATGAATAGGAGACATTTTGGAAACTGGACATGAAGTGTTAGAGATCATTCACGGATCGGATCGGCCAACTGACAGAACCAGTTTTGACAATTCTCTACCCCAGTGCTTACGGGTTTGGGATGATCTCTCTCCTCTACATGCGCAGAAGAACTCTGGGTCGAGATTGCAGTGTTGACTTGAAGCGAAAAGAAGGAAGTCACTAAATGTTGTTGACGAGTCATAAGATATGAAGACGATAGCATCTTTACAGGGCATGCACTGTCATGACGTATGACATTATCATATTCGAAAACCTCCGTTCTTGTCAGTCCACTCGAAAAGGATAAGCAGACTTTTTCAAAAAACTACACTGTGGGGACCATTTTCGATAACCAGTGTTTGTCGTGTCCAGAAACGGCTTGGTGGACGAAAGGCTAAAACGGAGAAAAAAATCTCCGTTTTCAAACAGTCCGGGCCACGACTAGAACTGGATATATGATGACGTCACCCAAATTACCACTATGCTTTAAGGTAGCGTTCACTTTCCTAGGCTCTCCCGAATTGAGGACTTGAGATCAGGCGGCCAACATCGTGTAAAGAAGTCGTAAACAAGGTTGCTGATTAAAGCTTATAGTTCGCGAGCTTCTGTGAGTCACGTAATTCCAGTAAAGAAAAATAAAGAAATCGACTTTTCGATGGAATTCTCCGCAAGTTCTAAAAGTCGAGAGATCGATACATTGGAAGGATTCTATCGTATCTTGAGTATCTTTGGAGCGGCTTTCGACGCGACATCGCCGCCATTTCTCTCGGCTTTAGTCCTTTTGCGGTCTGAGCAATGTTTTGGTTTTGCGTAAGTCAATCAGATGACAGGAAATCATATATCCAGTTCTGGTTGTGGCCCGGACTGTCAAAAATATCCAGATAAATATGGACGGGACCAAAGATGTGTATGTCAATAAGAGCGCGAGTTCAAGCCTAGCCTTTAATCTATCCTTTACTATTCTTACAACCTTTCCTTTAATCCATGGTAAGTCACGATGTGATCAAAAAGATAAAAAAAAACTCCAACAAAGCACCTGACAGTTTACGGAAAAATTTTACAATAATTTAGCTTTAAATCCAGGAATACTGAGTGTTATTGGCCCGGGTATTGGTGAGTTTACGCAACAGGACGTCAGCAAGAAGTCGACAAAACGCTTGTATGTGACAAAGGTGACAGGGCTATTACATACGAGTTTTGTCGTAATCTTCACTTAACATTAATCTGGTGTTTTAAAAAAAGGTCTGTCGAAAGAAAGGTGAAGTTTAGCGGAAGGTTTTTTCAAACAAAATTATTGTCACGCTTGTCACACAAGGTTTGTCGTCTTCTTCCCTCTCTCGTCCTGTTGCGTAAGTTCACTATTATTTTGTAAAACGTGAACTTGGGTAGCATAGGTCTTGTTGAAATGATGAATACATGAATTCCATTTTATTGAAGCGCGGAATGAAGAAATAAGTGCAAAGATGATTTCCGCAGTTTAAGTCGCAACTTATGTAGTTGCGAAAAGAAAGCCTGAAAAAATCAGACTGCCGGGATTCGAACTCTGACCTCTGCGATGCGGGTGCAACGCTTCAACCAGCTAAGAGTCCTATGGTAAAACTGACCACGCAAAAACTCTAATCCATAGATTGCAACGATGTGGACACTCCAACACAGCAGCTCACCTTTTACAAGAACATCTTACAACAATTTGGCTTTAAATCCAGGAAGACTCAGTGTTATTGTTTGGTAAAACGCGAACTCGGGTAGCAAGAGTCCTGTTATAAACCTGACCGCACAAAAACGGAGAAACAAGTGGGCATGCGCGGCTTGACTGTGCATCCGCGCCTGTGCCCTCCTTCGAGTCCTTTTGCTGCAGCTTATCTTCTTTTTCAACATACTTCATTAACTTTATCGCCGGCAATGCTAGGTTTCCGCCTGTTTGTGGTATGACATCAAGAACGACGTCTGTGGTTGCCTTGGCAACATGCGGTATGGCTATAACACCGCGCTTCCGTCCGTTGACGGCCCATAGGTTTGTGTCGGAGTCAACTTCGTAAAGTAATCGTGGGATGTTGGATGCATCTCCGTGGGATGATAGCCTGGTAAAAGTTATGTGCAACTTACAAGATGAACCCGCCAAAAGATTTCCGGACTCTACTGCAGGCTTCATTGTCGAGGTTATGGTGTATAATGTCTAAAAATAAAAAAAAATGTATCATGGCTGTAAAAAAACACGACGTTTTCTCCTTTTGTGACAGTCACAAGGCAAAAGGCAGATTCAGCAAAGACAACGAGACGCCAGTGACGCAGGCGCGCGCAGATAAAAATCGACCTGGCCAATGGTAAAACGCAAATTGAGTACCGGAAGTCACCTTCAATCCCTTTTGCAAGCTCTCGCATTCTCACCGGACGCTGCTTTGTTTTTGCTAAAATCTGCCTGTTTATTACCCTGGGTGCCAGAGGCTTTTCATCTGCGGTTTCCGGTTTCGGCTAAGTCTTAAAAAGTGACCCGCCGCTCGTGTCTTCGGCCTTCGGCCAAAGACGAGTCGGCCTTCGGCGACGAAGCTCCTCGTCGCACGCGAGCCAAAACGTCTGGTACCCAGGGTACCTGTTTATGGGAAATTTAAACGCATTCCGAGCTCCTGGTTGTCGCTCACCTGAGCAAACCCATCGTCAAAAAGGCAAACCCAACCGAATCGACGTCAACAACCCTAGTGAATTAGGGTTGAAAGGGACCAACCTTGCAAGACGCGCATTTGGCGGCCTAGCAGGCTTTCGATGGGGAAGGGGAATTCGGTTGCCTGCGTCGCAGACGCTCTACACCTAGGGCGCTTTCCATTTGTCAGAACTGACCGGCCAGACCATTCCTGTGGTGATGAGAAATTCACTTTTAATCATAACCATTCAATCAGATTAGTCAAATTTTAAACAGTATGCCCGAAGGAAAGGGTTTTTCGACAAAAACGTTTTGAACAAGCATTTTTCAGTGTTAAAATGATTTGTCCGCCTACGGTCCGGCTGGCCAGTTCTGACTGGCGTGGGCCGGCTGCAACGCAGGCTATGGGTCACGTGTTCTTCCCTCGCGCGCCCTTATCTCTAGACTTGCCACAAGTCGACGTAGTTCTTATCTCGGGCGAAAAAAAAAGCGAGCGAAGCGAGATACGAGGAAGAAAAATTTTAAAGGACTTTTGGAAAGTCTACCTTATCTCGTACCCAAATCTCCTGTCAACAAGAGATCAGGGAACAAAGTGTTAAGGAGCGCCGGAATCATTCCTTTTGCCATTTGCACTACAGCAAAGTTACCTAAACGTTAACTGGGAACAGATACATAAATATACTTTGGGAGCCATCGCATGCATCGGGAAGTTTTACAGACGTTTGCAAAAACAGATGTGCGTGCCTAGTACGGACACTCATGCAAGACTGGAAATCTTCAGCATTCAACTACCACTCCGTAGCAATTCATTACACATGATTACCTGGGTGTTAGCCACATGAAAATCGTACAGGTAAGAACTCGTCTCGGATGAACACGTTAACATCTCCTGCAATTAAGAGGAGAAAACGGAAAAAACCGCAACAGGGTTAGTTCAGTCGGTAGAGTGCTTGACTGTTCAGTGGGAGGATGCGGGTTCGATTCCCGGGACGGACCAATACTCAGGGTTTTAAAATAACTGAGAAACGAAGGTACTGCCTTTGCGGTTAAACCTTCGCGTGGCACGGATGACCACGTAAAATGGCGGTCCCGTCTCAAAATTAGCACTTTCGTGCAAAATACATTCATACGCAAATAAAGTGCACATACTAGGGAGTTTCGGCAGCGACGTTTTCGAGTGACACACGTCAACAGGAAGTGGAGATGTTGTACTCTTCGGCCGTAATTTTGAACAAATTCTTGGACAAATCGTCTCTTACAGACACTTAACAATCCAAATTTGGTAAAGTCAAGGTATACAGTAAAAACCTACGAGTAAGAACCTACATTTTCCAGGGTTAGCCTAAACAGGTTCTTACATAAATGGTGGTTAACATAAATTTTAATAGGCTATCTAGGTTCTTAATAGGTTCTTCATTTCTTGCAAAAAATTATGTCGTTGCTAAGAAGATTTTAGTGATCAGCACCCTTAAATTTGCATACCTGATGTTGCTTATATTTTAATATGACCATAATAGAGATCTATTCTCTCATGAATTTTAATTTCTTGAGTCAAAACAACTTTATATACATGATTGTGCTGTAAAACACAATTTAAACATTTTCTCAATGACCTCAATCAAACAACATCTTTATAAGAACCTTTCTCCAAATTTTAGGCTAAAGAGGTTCTTATATAGAGGAGGTCTACATTGCAAATTTTACCCTAACAGGTTCTTAAATCTTAGGTTCTTATTCGTGGGTTTTTACTGTATTTAAAGAGAAAAAGGCTCACTTCCGGTTGACTTGCGTCGCTCAAAAACGTCGCTGTTCAAACTCCCTAATAAGAAAGGTTTCCTTCTCCAGGTGTTCAGACAGTATCGCAGTCGAAAAATTGCCCCAGTCTCCCCTCGTTTTGCCCACATACGATTTAACTCGCTCGTCGCTATGTCAATACCGCGCTCTACTATCTGAACGCCTGAAACAGGCTAAAAGAAAGGATAAGGGAAAGTCGAGCCATTTTGGGCGATTTCAGCTTTTGCCGACTGATCATAGAACCTGATTTTAATCTCCAACTATAATATCAAGGGTAGAATAATCTAAAAGAAATACAAAAACCACAACAAATGTATAGATGGGCAAAACTGGCGAAGATTGAAGCACGCTGCACTCAGGTAAACTGGAGAAACATCGGTCAGGCACTTTTCAAGGCCATCTCGATCCGTATAAAAGTGCGAATTTTAATTAACGCTCAGATAAATCTCTGTTTCTTTTGTAGCCAAGATTTGGTTAATTATAATTTTTACTTTACCAATTCTAGGTTTAGAGGTTGTGACAAAAACAAACAGAATTACTCGTGACCAAGCCCGGAAAATATTACCTTTACACGAGAACAAGAAAAGAGTTCTGTCTTGTACTCTTCATAGTGAAAATTAAGGAGAGTTTCAACCATCCTTGATGACAACTATGCTACAAGTCAAACCTTTAAAACAGAATGGTTCTCGAATGTTCCAGATTCTTACCGTGGCTTGTTTAGGAAAAAACGAGGTCTTAAATTCGCAGTCAAGTTCAGGCGGCGAACCTGCAAATTACAAGGATAAAAAGACAAAAAGAATCGCAATTTAGCTAAAACTGTGTACAATGAATTCTTAAACTGATGTGCTAAAGGAAGCTTTTAATTACCTTCTTCACTCTCTAGTTTCCAGAGGAAGGACATATCTTGCTGGTTAAAGATGACCTAAAATTTAGAAATCAACAAATGCGACATAAATCTGGTCATACAATACATCTTTTAAGACCTATTTTAGTTACGAACATCCCCTTTTAAACAAAAACATAACTGAAACAGTTCTTTTTGTTCTTCTTTATGCATGTAAATAGACTACTGAGTACTCACCTAGTTAACGCTCTAAGGGCGTCTTGTTCATAATTGAGATACTTCCAACACAGGGCTTTTGGCTCTCTGTTTGGGGAAAGGGGGATTAAATCGCGAGGAGACGGCCAGAGAAAAAATAGCCTGCGAGCAAGCTCTCCGGGGCAATCTAGCAGCGAGTCGGGAAAAGGAAGGAGAGCTTGCAACTGTCAGCATTTCGCATCTACTTTTCGATGCAGATATTCAAATTTCAGAGACGTAGTTTCAAGCCCTCCTTCCTTTTCCCGCCCCGCTGCCAGAGTGCCACAGAGAGATTGCTCGCAGGCTATCACCGATTTTCCCCTTTTTTTTACCATAAAAGCCTGAAACTAAAAGCCAAGTTTCAGGCCAGAACTTGGTGATGAAAACTGAGACAGACGTAATTAAAGGAAGGGACCGCGTTGCATCCCTCAAAATCCACATAAACCAGTTACTAAGGAGGTGGGGGACCCCAGGTAGTTGAGATAACCCGCTTAGGTGGGGTAACCCGCCTGTCCATATAATCTCCCATTTTAATTTGATCGCGTTTACACGATAGGTGGGGTGCCCCACCGCAGGTTACCTCACCTACCTGGAGTCCCCACCTCCATGTAAACAGACCCTAAGTACTCACGTATTCCGAATTGTTGTGCATGGGAGTTAACTTCACAGAAGAACAGTTTGTGATAATCAGTTCAGGAGTCTGGATCACCAAGTCAACTGGGTTTATACCAGTAACAATCACTTGGATAAAACGGCTGCAATGGAACAAGTGTAATTAAATGAAATCTTCGATCTTCATCTATTGACTCGACCGACGCCAGACCGGAGAAAGAACGCTATTGAATTACTCAGGTTCAGTTGCGTTTTGCATTATATAAAAGCGTTTTTAAACAGTTTGTAAAAAACACAAACAAAAAGCATATTTTTCAGATGTACAAAAAAATCCTTGAAAATATCATGGCGCGCAAAAAACGTAGCCTGAGAAAACAACCGACATTTCGCGACGTCATTAACGGTTTCCCCTCGAAATGACTTCGGAGGAACGAGCATACAAATTCCATACTGATGACGTCTTTATACCCAAATCTGGGTAGCGCATCTGATTGGTTGAAAATTAGCTTCAACCAATCAGAAGCACTAGCCAGATCAGGTTAGTGACACATCATCAATATGGAGTTTCTGCGCTCGTTCCTCAGACGCCATTTCGCGGGTAAACCTTTGGCGAAATGTCTGGCTGTTTTCTCGGGGTAAAAAACACGTAAAAGTGAAAAAACCGCTCGCTTTAAGCCGCCAACTGAGCGGTTTTTGCCTTCTGCCAAGTTAAACTTTGGTTTAACTTAAACATGTTCCTCGTATTTCCGCACATTAGGGAGGAGAGCACCAGTTTTAAGGACGGAAACCAGTGCGGCTTAGGTGTGGTTCTCCCATATGTAGCGTAATATAGCTGAATTCAGCAGAGTTTGGCTTTACAATCATGGCTTAACAGAATTGGCCAGACTCAAGCATTTGTGTGTGCAAAATGGTACTTATCAACAAGTACTGGGCAAAGATTGAGTTTATCAATCAGATCAGCCAATAAAATACTGATTCTTCAATTATTTATCCCTCGCATAAAGGCAACAAATACCACTAAGCACATGGAACACGGAGAGACTCACGTGGTTTCAGACGAGTGCAGTATGTGTCGAGCAGTAAATGGACGGTGAAACAAGCCGGTAAGGTCAGCGGTAACCGCGGGAGACAACCACTTACAATTACATAAAAGCTGAAAAATGAGAAGACAAATAACGAAAGTTAACCAACAGATACACCGAGCAAGGATTGAAATAACAAGTCTCTCTCGACAATTAATTACAGTCACGCCACGCTGTCATTTCTTTGCAGTCTTACTCCTACTACCGACCGCTTTTCTGTCCGTCACTATTGATACCGAGTTGCTATAGATTATATCTAATTTTACTCTTAAAGAAGGTCAAAAGAGTTTACGAAGACAGATCCAGCCTAATTGAAAGTAGGACACCAGCTCAAGTTATTCTTGTTTTCTACGAATTACACTGTACACATGAGCTCTTATTTAATAGCGATCAGACTCGACTATTTAACAAATAAAGAAGCCTTGATTGCGCTCTCTTCTGTGGTGAAGCATGCAGGCTTTGGCTGAAGCACGAGAGAACTGTAGGGGGAAATACGAGACGTAGTCGAATGCTCTAGCCGCTTTCTACGTGTATTACAACACAATAGAGCACAGTCAAGGCTTTTTTATTGGTTTCTGTTAAATTTCCAACGCAATTCGCTTACTAATTTTCAAAAAAGCTATTGGCAGATGGAGTGACTGCTTTAGCTCCGGGTTTTATACTTTCATAAAGCACACTTTTTCAACCAATCAGAGTGCGCGTTATATCTGAACTTTATAAAAAAAACTTATGATAAAAAAACTAATAAAAACTACTGATGTGTTACAAGGACATACAACTGAGCTCGACGATTATGAAAGGTAACCCCACCTTGTATTCGGTAACTTCTTCCTGAAGACTTTGCTTCTGTAAAGGCGCCTGAATAATTAACTTTAGATCAATCTTAGCATAGGGTCCAATTGCTGGTAGAGTTACCACAGCAACTGAGATATCTGCCACGTCATCATCTCCGTGCACGGCAAGCACTTGAACGCTGTAAGGCGCACTTGTTTTATTTTCTTGGTCCATTGAAGATTGAATGATGGCCTCGCCTGAGTGAATGGGTTCGAATGTGATCCCCCTCTTCTGAGAGGTGATCTCCAGAACTGAACCACTCGCTATAGAGCCAGGTTCAACTGAAATGCTCAAAGTAACTTGCTGAGGAAGGCCAGAGATGAGATGAAGCTCTGTTAAACAAAGAAG